CTGATCAATGATTCTCTCTCATCATTAATGTTTCCATCTCTCTCTCCCTCTCCCTTCCTCTCTGAAATCAATAAAAATATATTTTTTTAAAAAGTAAAATATTAAAAAAAGAGAGAAAAGAATCTATCTAGCCCTGGTCAGGTGGCTCAGTTGTTGGAGCATCATCCCAAATGGTTGTGGATTTAATCCCTGGTCGGGGTGCATACGGAGGCAACCAATCCATGTTTCTCTCTCTCTTTCTCTCTCTCTCCCTTCCTCTCTCTAAAATCAATAAAAAACCATATCCTCAGTGAGGGTTAAAGAAATTGCATATATATTACACTCTGAAGATTTCCTTATACTTTATAAGTTTAAATAAGTAATACAACGAAGTAATAATGTATGTATTACTCCTTAGGTTATTTAGCAGCTAACCCAAGATTTGGATCATTGCCTAAAGTTGCACGTAAGTCATAGAAGTAAAAGAAATTATTTTTAAATAGATGTTTATAGCAGCTGGAGTTATGAATGTCCAGGTTAACCAAATTGCTTGCATTGCCTTTCTGAAAAATCAGTCTTTTTTTTTTTTTTTTTGCCACTTCACAGCCCTTCGTTCATTGAACACTTCCTGGTAACAAGTTGAGCCATAGGAACCTCCCTTGGAGAGTCCTCTTTGAAGCGGGGATGAGGCCTCCTGGCAGGGCCCGCGAGAGCCTCAGAATGAGAGATGCATTCGGGGCTTAAGTTTCCTTCTTTGGGCCAATCTTTTCCGGATATTTTCTGTAGTGAACATAATAAATGAATAATTTTTTAAAATTGGGGACTTTCTAATACACCAACCATAAACTCAGGATTTCCTTTTTCCACTCATAATACATCGATCTACTTTGTACAAAAGGGATGCTTTCCCGTTTACAGTCTGAAACCTCATTCCCAGCAAGAGGAGCCGGTTGAAGATTTTCTCCCTGAGAGGCTTTCTCTGCCCCGTGACCTCTCTCCCCTACAGGCAGGATGGACCGCAGCTCCCCAAACTCCAATCCATACAGAGACTTTCCTACCCAGTGATTTGGAGAATCCATAACCCCCTCCCTCCCCTGGTGGCCTCAGACATTTATTTGCTGGCCTGGCCTGGCCTGTCCTCGCTCAGGCTGCCTGGCCCTGGCCCGGGTTCACACCTGCTCTTGCTCTGTCCTGGCCCTTCTACCACCAATTCAACACGGAGCCAGAAAGCCTCAGACATTTATTTGCTGGCCTGGCCTGGCCTGTCCTCGCTCAGGCTGCCTGGCCCGGGTTCACACCTCTGATTGCTCTGTTCTGGCCCTTCTACCACCAATTCAACACGGAGCCAGAAAGTCTAATCCTGCTCTTCAACAGGGAGCTTCATTCCCAGAGTGTTTGTCCATTGATTTGTCGTGGTGCTTTAAAAAAAAAAAAAATGTTGTCTTTATTGTTGAAAGTATCGTGGTACTTTTAATATTAAAATTACTACTATAAATAAAGAAAGTTCTAGAAGATAACTAGTGGAAGGGATTCTGACCCTTTATTTAATCTGCCTCTCCTAACCTGCTTTTACAGTTGCTGGTATCCTGGGATATGGCCTGGGAAAGGCATCATACATAGGAGTCTGCCAAAGTAAATTTCATTCCCTTGACGATCAGCTACGCGGGGCTGGCTTTGGTCCAGGGCATAACAGGTTTGTCATCTGTTTGATTGAGGGATTGTAATGAAGATACAGTGGGGCCTTGACTTACAAGTGTCCCGACTAACGAGTTTTTCGAGATACAAGCTGTCTCTCAGCCGATTTTTTGCTTTGAGTTGCGAGCTAAAATTCAGGTTACGAGCCAGCTTCAGATACCCCACCGCTAGGTGTCGCAGCGAACGTCACAGTGAATGCCACAACATCAGCCCAGCATCACGTGTCTCACTCGTTCACTTTTGATTTGACATACAAGTAATTTGAGTTACGAGCTCCGTCACAGAACGAATTAAACTCGTAAGTCAGGGCCCCACTGTAATTATAAAAAGGTAAATAAAAGATGATTCACCATTTATAATATTAAACATCTATATGCTGGGCTAAAAAACCTCCTTAAACCTCAAATTTTGAGTTCTTGCTATTTGACTTCAATAATAATTACTTATTATTTGACTTAGTTTCCTATTTCATTTGCTTAACAAACATTTAGTGAGTATCTACTATGCTCAAGGCATTGTGCAAGAATACCTTAGTCAGCAGACATGGCTTCTATTATCACGGGGTTACACCGAATTTAAACAGGTTTCTTTATTGCAGGACTTTTCAGAGCCTTTACTGTGTTAATATACTGTATGTAGCGTGATTCCATTAGGGGATATAAGCAGTAGGACTCTGGAGTGAAAGGCATTGCCTCTACTGTTAGGACACCTGGGTCAAAAACTAGTTGTACCACTTATTAAATAAACCATGTAATCTCGGAAATGTTTCTTAAACTCTCTAATCTTCAGTTTTCTCAACTGTATAAAGTGGTGAGCAGAATTGTTTTCATGGAATTGTTATAAGGAAGAGAAATGACTGTGACACTCAGTAAGTAATAGCGATTTCTACCACCGGACTAGTGTTGGGGACACATTCACTAAAGATCCTCACTTGTCACAGTGGCTTCTATGTGAGAGGCAGCACGGTACTGTGGGGAAAAAAAAAACAAAAAACACTGGGCATGATCATTGTTGGCCTTTATCTTGAGTGAAATTCTGGCAGTTTCAAGCCAAGAAGCAGCTCCTACTATTCCCTAAGACAGTGGTCGGCAAACTCATTAGTCAACAGAACCAAATATCAACAGTACAACGATTGAAATTTCTTTTGAGAGCCAAATTTTTTAAACTTAAACTATATAGGTAGGTACATTGTTATTAACTTAATTACGGTTCTCCTAAGCTGGCCTTTGCTAAAAAGTCCTCATTCTGATTGAGGTACATTCGCTGAGGTCAACCCCTTCCAACTCTCCCATCCACACTCGTCTTGTAGCCAGTCTCACTCAACTCATGCATGAATCATGCGTGCCTCCCCCGCGCTGTGTATCCCGCAGCCCACCTGCACCGCGTCTCCGGTCGCCCAACCGACCTACCGACCAACACCCCCCACTTCTTCCAACACCGCTTCTTCAAAATAGACTCACCCAGTCCGAAAACCGACTTCTGCGCATGGGCCACGAAGTTTCGATTGCACTGTATGTGCGCACCCGCACGTGGTATTTTGTGGAAGAGCCACACTCAAGGGGCCAAAGAGCCGAATGTGGCTCGCGAGCCGCGGTTGGCTGACCCCTGCCCTAAGACATTGGGCCAGTGAGCGTCAGCCTAGGACAATGTCTCTCAATCAGGTGTTAAGACTAGAGCTTCCAGTGTCAAATCTCAAACCTCTCTTTTTGCTTCTGTCCTAGGCACTGCCTGCTTACCTGTGAGGAGTGCAAAATTAAGCATGGATTAAGTGAGGAGCGAAGTTCACAGCCATCAGCTTCCTAAACGCTACACCTGTGGCTTTTGAAGTTTCCTAAAGTTCTGAATTTGCACACACACTACAGATTCAAGTGTACTTGAAAATAGCGTACAGGGGAACAGAAACATGGTGATTCTCTCTATCAAAATGCTTTTTGCACAAGATTCTCAATTGAATTGAGTGTATGTTTTTCTACTGTGTACGAACATGGTGGGAGAATTCGCACACCGAAAAGAAATTATGTTGTATTCTAACTTGTATACAGTGAAGTAAAAGAATGTCAAGTCCTCTCTAATTTTCCCCATTTATTCGTTCTTTCTGCCTTAGCTCTGGGTTTTAAAATCTCTTAAAGTGGGCAGGTTGAGGAGCTTGGGAAGTCAGACCCCACCAAAAACCATTGTGTATGGAGACAGAAACACAGGGCAAGAAAGATTGCTTCTTATAGGTATGTGGGGCACTTAGTGAGAAATGCGTCACTTCAGAGAGTCACAGAATGGGCCAATTGTCCTTTCGGTGACCTCGGTGACTTTATGCCTCATCAGTATGGTGGAGTTTTGCTTAGCCATTGGGTGCACGCTTATAGTCATCACTCAAGTACTGGGTTAGTTTATATACTGTTAGTGGCCTCAAAGAATAAACACAACTTCCCAAATGGTCCCTTCTTCTCCCAGGCAACAGTTTATTATGGGAGGAATCATGGGAAAAATTAATGCATAGAATGATAAACTTTTAAGGCTATAAGCAGATCAGAAGCAGCCAATTCAACCTCATGAGTTGGATTCCTATTTATTGCCAGGTGTGTGTTTTTTGGTGTGTGTGTGTGTGTGTGTGTGTGTGTGTGTGTGTGTGAGTGTGTGTGTGTGTGTGTTTTGTTTTGCAAGAAAAAAAAAACCCTCTTCCATTGGGGACCTTTTGTTTTATGGTAGGTTGTCTGAGTCCTACTTTAAAAATGTTCCTTGCATTTTTTGCATTTTCTCAGAAAAATGCTTTCTTTTTAAAAAATATATATTTTATTGATTTTTTACAGAGAGGAAGGGAGAGAGATAGAGTTAGAAACATTGATCAGCTGCCTCCTGCATACCCACTACTGGGGATGTGCCTGCAACCAAGGTACATACCCTTGACCCGAATCGAACCTGGGTCCTTTCAGTCCGCAGGCCGATGCTCTATCCACTGAGCCAAACAAGCCAGGGCAGAAAAATGCTTTCTATGTGTGTCACCATTCATACATTGGGCATGTGTGTGTACGTAATTTGTGTTCTGTGTAATACATCTTGAAACCTGCACCATAGAGGTAAAAAGAGGAACCTCATCAGCAGTTAATACTTGATATGAAATATTTTATTTAAAACATCAAAAATATTTGCAAGTTTCTATTTTCACATGAACACTAAGTATATGAAATGGAGTGATGTTTGACTATCTCTTCGTGAATACGTCTCCTCATGTCTCAGTCGATAAAGCTCTCTTTCTGTCAACCAGATCACAGAGCCAATATCCTAGCTTCTTGGATGCAGTTTAATTCTTGGCTCTGACTTAGCAATTGGTGACTCTTTGTTATCTCTGCTATTGGTAAAAGTTCAGATTTGGGCACAGTTATTTCCTGCATTCCAGAAAATTATTTCCCAGGGATCAGAACATTTCCACATTGCTAAGCACAGCAAGCCAATGCAGAAATCGGTCTCAGGGTATTGGGAAAGGTCAATCTATTATTGTTGAGAAGGCACGCTGTTTTTCCTG